GTGTGTGTGTGTGTGTGTGTTAGGCTACATCTACACTTCTGTCTTCTCTTTTGAAGACCCATCACAGATCTGTTGTCCTCAGAACTCTGGAGTTTTAGAGATGATTAAAAAGAAGTTTGTAAACGCTGGTTTTATTCTGAAGGAGCAGAAACCTCCTGCTGATCCGGTCTTGTTGGTCACAACGTGCCTCAATGATTCGTTGGCCGCCATTTAATTCAGGCTGCAGTGAGGATTTTATTTTAAGATAGAATATGTGATGGTCGAATTAATAAGTATATTGTCTAAAAACAATTACACCTATGTTTTATATTTTGTTGAATTATTTCTCGTTAGTAACGGATTCAGTTCTGTCACCGGATGAACGTTCGGCCTCCTCAGTCTTTACAGTTTGGTTCCATTGACGGATAAAGAGAGGACGTAATTACGTGATAAATTAAGTCATTGAGAAAAACAGGAAAAAGAAAATAAATGAGGTTAAACTCAGAAGGAAGTGAAGGAGGAAGACAAGAGAAAAGACGTTTCCAGGTTTGGTGTGGACGTGCTCTGTCGACCTGTCTCGTTCTCTCACGTGTGTCTTGTTCCACAGGTTGAGTCCAGAGATCTTCCTGAAGAGACCCGTCGTTGAGGGCAACCGCTGGCGTCTGGATTGCGTCCTGAAACGCAAAGCGGTGAGCGCCAACGTTTCCTCGGCCGTCCGAAGAAACGGCGTCTTCGACCCTGAACGACCACGAAGCTGCTCAGGGGGTGGATGCAATGACAGAAGGGAGGTTGTGTTCATCAGTGGTCGTGTTTTTGTCTTCACAGCAACAAGGAGTTAAAGTCTTTGTGATGCTGTATAAGGAGGTGGAGCTTGCTCTGGGCATCAACTCGGGCTACAGCAAGAGAACGCTGCGGCACCTTCACCCCAACATCAAGGTGAGCGTCCGTCATGTGCTCACACCGATGCACTTCGCTGGGGCTGCGTGTTTCCGTGTAAGAATTTTCACACGTGTGTTCGCAGGTGATGCGTCACCCAGACCACGTGTCCTCCGCCGTCTACCTGTGGGCGCATCACGAGAAGATCATCATCGTCGACCAATCTGTGGCCTTCGTGAGCGGGATCGACCTGGCGTACGGACGCTGGGACGACAGGGAGCACCGGCTGACGGACGTCGGGAGTGTGGCGCTTTCTCACCTGGAGCAGGTAACACACACACACACACACACAC